AATTTACTTTTATGTGCTTTTGACTGCCTGTACCCATTTTCCTTATGGTGTGAAAATGCAAAAATATTTATATTGAGTAACGTTACTTATAGTACTTAATGTTAAAGTAGTAAGTAGATAAGTGTGCCGCTTATTAAAAACGCACAAGGTACTTGGAACTTTTCAGATCCGTTATAATCGTTTGAATACGCGCACTTAAAAACTGTATTTGAAATAAATTCAGTAAAGATTTTACAGCGATTTTCCAATGCATTTCGTATTCGAGCGTGGCTTATGAATATTCTTGTAAGCGCATATAAATACAGTGCAAATTTTGCTAAAGATTCTTCAAAATTTCACATATTTGCGTGTCGTTTGCTTGCAATCTGAATATCAAGACAAAAACATCAAGATTTTAATATTTAAGCATTTTAAAAACAAATTAATAAACCCAAAGATTTTTATGAAAATATTACTCGCGAAACATTCTACCAAAGAAAATCCTAGAAAAGTGATATTGTCTATATTTTTTCGAGATATGTATGAAAATTCTGTGCAAATTATAATTATTTTTCAATTCCACATTCAGTTGGACACAAAAAATCTCGTGTGTATTGTCCAAGAAAATAACCGCAATTTCAACATTTGATTCTGTTTTTTTTTCCTAAACGAAGGTTATTTTTAAATTTAACATTGAGTTGGAAGTAAAAAATATATTTTGAGTTTTTTGAAGAAATGCCCAGTTTTTTGACCAAAAAAATAAAAAGCGTTGAGCAGGCCAATGGTATTTCTGCAAATAAAAATTATTTTTCAAGTTTACTTTAAAAAATTTGTGTTTTTTTACTGAATTGCACAAATTGATTTAAAAAAATTATAACCGTTGTATCGCCTGAGAAACTACCCGCAATAATAAATAATTATTTAGATTCTTCAAGAACATACATTGAAATGTTTCCGAGATGAAAATAGAAATTCGATAAATTTTGGGTCCATCGTGTTGATGTTTAGGCAAATGTCAATAATAATTAAAAAAAGGTT